CTGGATAGCACTTTTTTAAAAATTTCTTTTCCTTCTCTCTCTCTCTCTCTCTCACTCTTTCCTCCCTCCCTCCCTCCTTTCCTTCCTTTTTTCTCTCTTGCTTGCTTTCTCTTTCTTTCTTTCTTTCTTTCTTTCTTTCTTTCTTTCTTTCTTTCTTTCCCTTCCTTCCTTCCTTCCTTCCTTCCTTCCTTCCTTCCTTCCTTCCTTCCTTCATTCCTTCCTTCCTTCCTTTCGTTCGTTTGTTTTGCTCTTTCTTGCCCAGGCTGGAGTGCTGTGGCATGATCTCGGCTCACTGCAACCTCCACTTCTCAGGTTCAAGTGATTCTCCTGTCTCAGTCTCCTGAGTAGCTAGGGTTACAGGCACCTGCCACCGCGCCAGGCTAATTTTGGTGTTTTAGCAGAGACAGAGTTTCACCATGTTGGCCAGGCTAGTCTCTAATTGTTGACCTCAAGTGATCCACCTGCCTCGGCCTCCCAAAGTGCTGGGATTACAGGTGTGAGCCACCACTCCCAGCCTATTTATTTATTTTTAAATTTTCTTTTTGAGACAGAGTTTCACTCTGTCACCCAGGCTGGAGTGCCGTGGCGTAATCTCGGCTCACTGCAACTTCTGCCTCCCAGGTTCAAGTGATTCTTTTGCCTCAGCCTCCCCAGTAGCTGGGACTACAGGTGTTTGCCACCAAGTCTGGCTGATTTTTTTGTATTTTTAGTAGAGATAGGGTTTTGCCATGATGGCCAGGCTGGTATCAAATTCCTGGCCTCAAGTGATCCACCCATCTCAGCCTCCCAAAGTGCTGGGATTATAAGTGTGAGCCACTGTGCCTGGCTATTTATTTATTTTGAGATAGGGTCTCATTCTATCACCCAGGCTGGAGTGCAGTGGTACAATCATAGCTCACTGCAGCCTAGACCTCCTGGGTAGTTCTCCTACCTCAGCCTCCTGAGTAGCTAGGACTACAGGCACCCGCCACCATGCCTGGCCAATTTTTGTATTTTTTGTAGATACGGGGTTTCACCATCTTACCAAGGCTGGTCTCAAACTCCTGGGTTCAAGTGATCCACCTGCCTTGGCTTCCCAGAGTGTTGGGATTACAGACGTGAACCACCATGCCCGGCCAAAATTATTTATTTGTTTATTTATTTATTTATTTATTTATTTATTTATTTATCGAGACAGGGTACTGCTGTCTTGCTGAGGCTGGAGTGCAGTGGCACAGTCACGGCTCACTGCAGCCTCAATCTGCTGGGCTCAGGTGATCCTCCTTCCTCAGCCTCCTGTGTAGCTGGGACGACGGCTGCATGCCACCACAACCACCTAAATTTTTAACTCTTTGTAGATATGGAGGGGTCCCACTTGTTGCCCAAGCTGGTCTCAAACTTCTGGGCTCAAACAATCCTCCCACCTTAGCCTCTCAAAGTGCTGGGATTATAGGTGTGAGCTACTGCACCTGCACCTGGTCAGCTCTTTTTTCTTAGTGCTGAATAATATCCCGTTATATGAATATACCACAATTTGTTTATCCATTCACCTATTGGAGGACATCTTGATTGTTTCCAAGTTTTGGGATTTATGAATAAAGCTGCTATAAATATCCATGTGCCGTTTTTTTGTGTGTGTGTAGATATAAGTTTTCAACTCATATGGGAGCACAATTGCTGGATTGTGTGGTAGGTTATGCTTAGTTTGGTAATAAACTACCAAATACCTTCCAAAGTGGCTGTACCATTGTGCATTCCCACCAGCAATGAATGAGAATTCCTGTTGCTCCACATCCTCATCAGCATTTGGTGTCATCAGTGTTTTGAATCTTAGCTATTTTAGCAGATACTTTTTTTCAATTGTTGGGTTTTAAGAGTTGTTTATATATTGTGGATACCAGTCCTTCATCAGAGATATTTTTTGCAAATATTTTTTACAAGCTTGGGGATCATGGTTTTCTTGTCTTTTCTTTTTTTTAAGACAGAGGTTTGCTCTTGTCACCCAGACTGGAGTGCAATGGTGTGCTCACTGCAACCTCCGCCTCCTGGGTTCAAGTGATTCTCCTGCCTCAGCCTCCCCAGTAGTTGGGATTACAGGCACCTGCCACTACGCTTGGCTAATTTTTGTATTTTTAATTGAGACAGGGTTTTACCATGTTGGCCAGGCTGGTCTTGAATTCCTGACCTCCTGTGATCCACCTGCCTTGACCTCCCAAAGTTCTGGGATTACAGGCGTGAGCCACCGGGCTCGGCCATGTTTCTATTTTCTTAATAGTGTCTTGGGCAGAGCAGAGTTTTTGATTTTAAAGAGGTACAATTTATCTTTTTTTTTCTTCTTTTGTGGATCATGCTTTTGGTGTTGTATCTATCCCCATGTTTTTACCTGTCTTTTCGGTGACCAGAGGGACAAATCAGTGTTGGTTTGGGCAGTATAAATTGAAAGAGCAGAAAGCAGAAATTGATCCCTTAACCTTGTCCATAAGCAATAGGCTTCAACTCCTGAGATCGTGCGTCAGTCACTGTGGCTGTCATACTTCTATGTAACAAAACAACCCCGGAACACAAAGGCTTATTATCGTAAGCATCTATTTCTCTCTCACATGTCCGCAGGTCAGATGGAGTTCAGTTGATCTAGGCTGGGCTCAGGCCTGCAGGTTGGTCTAGGTCTGCTCCATCTGTCACTCATCTTCCTTGGACCATGTTCTTTTCAGGGCAAAAGACTGGAAGGCAAGCCCAGCCCCACAAGCACGTTTCAAGCCTCTGCTTGCATCACATGTGCTAACATCCCATTGGCTAAAGCAAGTCTCATGCTCAAGTTCAACACTGGTGGCACAGGGAAGTGTACTCCTCCCATCAGATTATTATTACAAATCATAAGGCAAATTTCCATCAGAAGACCCTGGACTCTGCTTTCCTGTACCCAAGCCACATCCCAAACTAGAAAGCAAGAAAGAAATTACCAACTAGGTAAGTTGAAACATTACTAGCTTTATTTTCCACTGTTCTTATAGTCAGTTCCTAAGGTCAGAACCCCACCATACTCAGAGGTACAGAATCAAGTTAGTGTAGGATTCTCTGGGACCCAGGGGGTGATGTGATGTACAACCTTCAGGGGATGCAATAATATGGAAAGGTGGTGTTTCCTTTTCACCCATTGTCCACCTCTTTCTGTCTGTCTCTGTGTGATAATAACTAGCTGCCAGGGACTCTCAGCTGAGGCAACATTCGGGAAGCCCCCACCACTTTGTCTTCTCTGCTTCCTACGCAGGTCTCCCACCTCTCCACTGAGAGCTTCCTCTGTAGGGTACTAGATACTCTCAGCAGCCATATCTCCAGATCGGGATTCCTGCAACGGCAAATACCACCTCAACAAGTATAATGGCTGCTTGACCATGGGGAATGTCAGGTCTGCAGGCAGCTCCCAGCCCTGGAGGCAGCCCCCAGCCCTGGGGAGCTGTAAACTGGCCAGCTCTTGTAGCAATGTGGCCTAACAGGAAAGTCAGGGTCCCAAATCATAAGAAACCATTTCTGTCATCCTGGAAGACCCAGCTCCTTGGAGGCAAAACCCATCCAGCATCTGGATACCAGTGGAGAAGGCAGGACAGTGCCCCCCGCCGAGAGATGTTCATGCCCTAACCCTCAGAGCCTATGAAAATGTTACCTCACATGGCAAAAGGGACTTTGCAAAGGTGATTAGGAATCCTGAGATGAAAAGATTATTCTGAATTATCCAGGTGGGTCCAAGGAGTTCTTACAAATTAAAGAGGGGAAGAAGACTCAGAGTCAGAGGAGATATGATGAAAGCAAAGTTAGGAGTAATGAGCGAAAGGGGCTGATGAGTGAAGGAATGGGAGCAGCCTCTAGAAACTGGGAAAGGCATGGAAACAAATTCTCCCCTAGAGCCTCTAAAATGAATGCAACCCATTTCAGTCCCTCTGACTTCTGGAACAGTAAAGTTATACTTGTGTGTATGTGTGTGTGTGTGTATGTATGTATATATGTATGTATGTATATATGTATGTATGTATGTGTATATGTGTGTGTGTATGTATATATGTATGTGTGTATGTATGTATGCATGTGTGTATGTATATATGTATGTATGTATGTGTATGTATGTGTGTATGTATGTATATATGTATATATGTATATGTATGTAGGTATATATGTATGTATGTATATATGTATGTGTGTATGTATATATGTATGTATGCATGCATGCATATATGTATTGAGACAGGGTCTCACTCTTCTGGAGCAGTAAGGTTATACATGTATGTATGTATGTATGTACTTATTTATTTATTGAGAAAGGGTCTCCATCTCTTGCCCAGGCTGGAGTGCAGTGGCACAATCTCGGCTCACTGCAACATCCATATCCCGGGTTCAAGCAATTCTCCTGCCTCAGCCTCCCCAGTAGCAGGTGCCCACCACCATGCCTGGCTAATTTTTGTATTTTTAGTAGAGACAGGGTTTCAGCATGTTGGCAGGCTGGTCTTGAACTCCTGATCTCAAGTGATCACCCACCTCAGTCTCCCAAAATGCTGGGATTACAGGCATGAGCCATTATGCCTGGCCCAGTAACATTATGCAGTTGTGTTGCCTTAAGCCACCAAATATGTGGTAATTTGTTACAGGAGCAAGAGGAAACGAATACAGCCAGCAACTATTTTAGGACAGTTAGAAAACCTCAAGTATCGAACCCCACTTTTCTTTCCTTTCTTTCTTCTTCTTCTTCTTCTTTTTTTTTTTTTTGAAACGTGGTCTCACTCTGTTGCTCAGGCTAGAGTGCAGTGGCATGATCATAGCTCACTGCGGCCTCGACCTCCTGGGCTCAAGAAATCCCCCACCCCTCAGTCTCCCAAAGCACTGGTATTACAGGTGGGAGCCACTGCACCCAGTCAGAACCCCACTTGTCTTTGTACTTCTGGTCCCCAGGAGAGTCCTTCACACTTTCTGACTTGTCATACAGCAAGATGGCAAATAGATACTCAGGAATTGGAAGGACAAGAAAACCAACCTTTTGGTAAAGACTTTGGCATTTATATCTTTTATTTAAATATTCATTTCACTATTTTGAAAGTTTCTCTTCCAAATCACAGCTGTAACTAAAATCCAACCATTCCAGGAAATAGAAATATCAACTTGGGGGCTTCCTGAGAATGTCAGATTGTGGATTGCGAGAGTCAAAAAGAGATTTTCCAGTCCAACCCACTCACTGGATAGATGAGGAAACCGTGGCTGAAGCGAGGGTGGGTGTCTGGGAGTAGGGAGGGGGCGTGGGCCCTAGTGGATGGTGCTGGAGCCACCTTGCAGCCACCACCTGGGCACCCCCTGGCCCTACCCTGGTCCTCCCCATCATGGCTGCTGTTGGTATTGGCTCTCTGTGGCCGTGTAGAAGTCATCCAGCACACTCTGGATGTATTCGAAGGTCGGCCGCTCCTCCGGACGGTTCTTCCAGCAGCGCATCATGATGTTGTAAAGCTCCTCTGGGCAGTTCTCCGGGCGAGGCATCCGGTATCCACGCTCCAGAGCTCGGATCACTTCGGGGTTTGACATCCCTGAAAAGGAGCCGTGGAATTAAAAAAGGAAGTGGTTGGGAAATGAGAGCCCAGGGGTGGCAGGCCCTGTGGCCTCCCCAGCAGCCATCACTCCCCACCTTGCTTGTAAGCTGAGCCCCTCCCACTGTGAAAGCCAGAGACTTCCACCCTCAGCTTCACTTGCAGCTAGGTCATGGGCCCGGGACCCAGTTTGGGCCAATGGGAGCTGATGGGGAGGTCTGCTGGGAGAGTGCCAGGAAAGGTTTTCCTCCCACTTAGAGGAGAGTCTTTGGAGAATGCACCCTTCCTTTGAACACTGTGAGATACTTATGATACTTGGAGCTGCAACAACCATCTGACAACATGGAGAAGACCATCACAGAGACAGGAACCCAGAGTCCTGACAGCTGCTGAACTGCTGAACTAACCAGTCACCCATGGCAGATGGGGAGTAATAGCTTGCTTCTGTTTCAGTTACTCTGTGTCTGTTATTTTGTCGCTTGCCGCGGAACACATCCTAATGGATTTAGCTTCTACTGTGTGTTGCCTGGTTTTGACTAGTGCACCCTCAAGACAAAACAGTCAGGTGGTCAGATTCAATATCAACCTATGGATGGGACTATTTTCTTGTTCAATTTAAGTTTTTGTTAGTTATTCATAAGAATAGCCATTCAACATCTGTGATCCCCAATTTTATATTATTAGTCTCAAACTCCAAACTCATGAACTCAAGTGCTTCCTTTACTTGGATGTCTCTATACTTAAGTCATCTCAAACTTAACAGAGCTAAAGTAGAGCTCTCCAATTTCTGTCCCTAGACCATTACCCACCCTATGGTGCAAAGCCAGGGTAATCATCCCTGATTCTCTCTCTCTCACCTCCTAAGTCAGCAAGTCAGATCTTCTCTTCTTTTGAAACATAGCACCAGTTCATCAACGTATGTCAGTCACGAATGCCACCACCCTGTCCAGACCATCATCACCTCTGCCTGGGCCACTGCTGTGGCTTCCTCACTGGCTGCCACCATGTTCCCCTTCCCTCCCATTCACTCTTCACGCTGAACGAAAACATCGCTTAAAAATGGAAATCACCAGCCTGTCAACATAGCAACACTTTGTCTCAAAAAATTTAAAACATTAGCTGGGCATGGTAGTGTGTGTCTGTAATGTCAGCATTTTGGGAGGCCAAGGCTGGAGGATTGCTTGAGCCTGGAAATTAGAGACCAGGCTGCGCAATGTAGTGAGACCAAGTCTCTACAAAAAAGTAAAAAATAGCCAAGCATGGTGGCACATGCCTCTGGTCCCAGATACTCGGGAGACTGAAGTGGGAGGATCACTTGAGCCTAGGAAGTCAAGGCTGCAGTGAGCTATGATCGCACCACTGCACTCCAGCCTCGGTGACAGAGTGACACCTTGTCAAAAAAAAAAAAAAAGACAGGTGGAGAAAGAACAAGATCTGATTCACAGTTTAGAATTATCCTGGCTGTAAGTGGAGAATAGGCTGTAGGATGAGGAGGGAGAAAGCAGTAAGACTGATGAGGAGGCTGCTGCACCATCCATGGGAGACAACACTGGCCTGGATGCAGTGGAGACTGTGGGGTTCAAAGTGGTGAGACGTGGGATATGTTTTGGAGTTGAGTGGCCAAAATCTTGTGACTGCTCCGTTGTCACAGGGGTGCGGACAGGCACGGTGGCTCACGTCTGTAATCCCAGCACTTTGGGAGGCCGAGGCAGGCGGGTTACCTAAGGTCAGGAGTTCGAGACCAGCTTGGTCAACATGGTAAAACCCCATCTCTACTAAAAATACAAAAATTAGCCAGGCATGGTGGCGGGCGCCTGTAATCTCAGTTACTCAAGAGGTTGAGGCAGGAGAATCACTTGAACCCGGGAGGCAGAGGTTGCAGTGAGCCAAGATTGTGCCATTGCACTCCAGCCTGGTGACAGAGTGAGACTCTGTCTCAAAAAAAATAAAAAAAGTCATAGGAGCGAGAGAGAAGGACGGGCCAAGGAAGCCCCCAGATTTCAGGCTTAAGACATTGGATGGATGGAGGTGCCTTTAACTAAGATGGGAAAGGTGAGGGAAAGTTGGGGGTGAGGATCAAGAACTCAGTTTGAATGGACATGTTGTCTAGATGAACCCATTGCCAGGATGCCCTGGAAGCAGCCCCGAGCTGATGTCCTTTCCCTACCTGGGTAAGGGATGCGGCCGTAGGTGACGATCTCCATCAGCAGGATACCAAAGGACCAGACGTCTGACTTGATGGTGAAGGAGCCAAAGTTGATGGCTTCAGGAGCTGTCCACTTGATGGGGAATTTGGCCCCTGCAGGGTTGAACAGAGCAGAGTCAGGGGAAGGTTGGGGAGCTATGAGGGTTGGGACTCTGCTAAGGTAGGAGAACAGGCAAGGGCAACAGTTGCCAACATCTGCCCATGCAGACCTGCAATTCTCCTGTTATGTGGCCTCCCTGTGGAAGCAAGGGACATCCATCCTGAGGACAGATGGCTAAACAAGGAGGAGTGGGCAGAGGGGCCTGGGGTATGGCGTGGAAGTTCACTCTAGAAGCCTCTTCGCTGATTCAGCTGATACCCCAGTTAACTACAACTCCGAAGAGTGGAATCCCAGAGGCCACAGCTCTTTGGGGACAGAAGGAGGCTTCAGAGGGCCTTGAGTACATGTTGCAGCCAATGTCTCAGTCCTCTCACCCCAGGCAATGGGAAAAGGGAGGATTCTGGCTCCCAGCCCATGAGGTTTCCACCAGTCACTGTGTGTCTCCCCCTTTACCCACCCCTCCTCCCACCTAGTCTGACATGGGTTTAGTTAGCCTCTTCATTTTTTTTTTTTTTCTTTTAGAAGCAGGGTCTTACTCTGTTGCCCAGGCTGGAGCACAGTGGCACAATCATAGTTCACTGAAGCCTTGAACTCCTGACCTCAAGCTATCCTCCTGCCTCAGCCTCTCGAGCAGCTGGGGTCACAGGTGTGCCCTACTATGCCAAGCTAATTAAAAATTTTTTTGGCCAGGTGCAGTGGCTCATGCCTGTAATCCCAGCACTTTGAGAGGCTGAGGAAGAGGATCACCTGAGGTCAGGAATTCGAGACCAGCCCGGCCAACCCTATCTCTACTAAAAATACAAAATTAGCTGGGTGTTGTGGCAGGTGCCTGTAGTTCCAGCTACAGGCTGAGGCAGGAGAATTGCTTGAACCCAGGAGGCGTAGGTTGCAGTGAGCTGAGATCGCACCACTGCACTCCAGCCTGGATGATAGAGTCAGACTCCATCTCAAAAATGAAATAAAATAAAATAAAATTTGTAGAGACAGTGTCTTATTATGTTACCCAGCCTGGTCTCAAAACTTCTGGGCTCAAGCAGTCCTCCCACTTTGGCCTCCTAAAGCACTGGGATTACAGGTGTGAGCCACCGCACCGGGCCTAGTTATCCTTTTTTAGTGTTTATCTTAATTATATCATGGTTGGTGAACATGGTCTATAGAATATTGTTCTTTGGAGTTTGTTGAGACCTGCTTTATGACTGAGTACACGGTCAGGTTTTGAAAATGTTCTGTGTGTGTGTTTGTGTGTGTGTGAGAGAGAGTATGTGTGTGTATATGTGTTTTCTCCCTTCCTCCTTTGGAGCTAGAGACTTTTCTTGATTTCCTGCTTATCTTCTTCTGGTTTAGACATTATACATTCTACTTTTATTCCTTTAGTCATTACCCTTATTTATTTATTTATTTATTTTTTGAGATGGAGTCTCGCTCTGTCACCCAGGCTGGAGTGCAGTTGTGCTATCTTGGCTCACTGCAAGCTCGCCTCCCAGGTTCACACCATTCTCCTCCTCAGCCTCCCAAGTAGCTGGGACTACAGGCGCCCGCCACCACGCCCGGCTAATTTTTTGTGTTTTTAGTAGAGATGGGGTTTCACCGTGTTAGCCAGGATGGTCTCGATCTCCTGACCTCATGATCCACCCGCCTCAGCCTTCCAAAATGCTGGAATTACAGTCATGAGCCAACGTGCCTGGCCCTGTTTATTTATTTTTTTTGAGACAAGGTCTTGCTCTGTTACACAGGCTGGAGTGCAGTGACATGATCTTGGCTTACTGCAGCCTCAACCTCCTGGGCTCAAGCGATTCTCCCACCTCAGCCTCCTGAGTAGCTGGGACCACAGGCTCACACCACCACACCTGACTTATTTTTAAATTTTTTGTAGAGATTGCCCAGGCTGGTCTCGAACTCCTGGGCTCAAGCAGTCTGCCCATTTTGGCCTCCCAAAGTGCCGGGATTACAGTCATGAGCCACTGTGCCCGGCCTAAAATTTTTCTTTATTGTGTTATAACATACATGAAATAATATGCACAAATCTTTAATATCCATTTTGCTGCAGCTTTATATATGTATATACCCTTGTAATCACCATCAGGTTGGGGTATAGAACATTTTCAGCAATTCAGAAGGCTCCTTTCTGCCTCCTTCCAGTTAATATTCCCTTACTTAAGGTGACTGCAGGCTGTGCATGGTGGCTCATGCCTATAATCCTAGCACCTTCAGAGCCTGAGGCAGGAGGATCACTTAAGGCCAGGAGTTTGAGACCAGCCTGGGCAACACAGTGAGACACTGTTATCTACAAAAAAAAAAAAAAAAAATTAGCTGGGCATGGTAGCACATATCTGTAGTTTCAGGTACTCGAGAGGCTGAGGTTGGAGGATTGCTTGAGCCCAAGAATTGGAGGCTACAGTGAGCTATGCTCTCACCCCTCCACTACAGCCTGGGTAACAGAGCAAGCACTTGTCTTTTTTTTTTTTTCTTTTTCCTTTTGAGATGGAGTCTCACTCTGTCACCCAGGCTGGAGTGCAATAGCACAATCTTGGCTCACTGCTGCAACCTCCGCCTCCCGGGTTCAAACGATTCTCCTGCCTCAGCCTCCCGAATAGCTGAGGCTACAGGCACCCGCCACCACGCCTGGCTAATTTTTGTATTTTTAGTAGAGACAGGGTTTCACCATATTGGCCAGCTGGTCTCAAACTCCTGACCTTGTGATCCACCTGCCTTGGCCTCCCAAAGTGCTGTGATTACAGGCATGAGGCACTGCGCCCGGCTGCACCCGTCTCTTTAAAAAATAAATAGGACTGGCACAGTGGCTCACGTCCATAATCCTAGCACTGCGGGAGGGTCAGGTGAGTGAATCACTTGAGGTCAGCAGTTCAAGACCAGCCTGGCCAACACGGTGAAACCCTGTCTCTACTAAAAATACAAAACTAGCCAGGCATGATGGCGCGTGCTTGTAATCCCAGCTGCTGGGAGGCTGAGGCAGGACAATCGCTTAAACCCAGGAGGTGTAGGTTGCAGTGAGCTGAGATCGCGCCAGTGCACTCCAGCCTGGGCAGCAGAGTGAGACTCCGTCTCTAAATAAATAAATAAATAAATAAATAAATAAATAAAAACTAAGCTAACAGAAAATAAAGGTGACTGCAATTCTGACCTCTAGTGCTACAAAAATTTTTTGCCTGTTTCTTTAATAGCGTTATGGAGATAGAATTCACAGACCATACATTTCACCCATTTAAAGTGTATAATTCTGTGGCTTTCAGAATATTCACAAAGTTGTGGATTTTAGAATATTTTCATCACATTTCCTTGCAAAAAACCCACAGAAGTCACTCCTCATTTCTCCCAACTCCCCACTGCCAGCTGTAGGCACCAATAATCTACTTTCTGTCTCTTTAGATTTGTCTGTTCTGAGCTGGGCGTGGTAGCTCATGCCTGTAATCCCAGCACTTCGGGAGGCTGAGGCGGGCAGATCACTAGAGGTCAGGAGTTTGAGTTCAGCCTGGCCAACATGGTGAAACCCCATCTCTACTAAAAATACAAAAATTAGCCGGGCATGGTGGTGCGTGCCTGTAATCCCAGCTACTCAGGAGGCTGAGGCACAAGAATCGCTTGAACCTGGTAGGCAGAGGTTGCAGTGAGCCAAGATTGAGCCACTGCACTCCAGCCTGGGTAACAGAGAAAGACTCCATCTCAAAGAAAAGGAAAAAAAAAGATTGCCTGTTCTGGACTTTTCATAGAAGAGGAATTATACAATATATGGTCTTCATGTTGACTTTCCTTTAACATAATGTTTTTAAGGGTCATCTTTGTTCTAACCTGGCATAGTACTTCATTCCATTTTATGGCCAAATAATATTCCATTGTATGGATATACCACATTTTCTTTATCTGTTCATAAATTGGTGGACATTAAAGAGCGTTGTTTCCGTTTTTTGGCTATTAGGAAGAATGCTGCCATGAATGTCCGTTTACGAGTTTTGTCTCTTTTTGTATTTCACAAAAATGGAACCAATTGGCATCTACTCTTTTTTTTTTTTTTTTAGTCTAATTTCTTTCGTTTTGATATTATACCTGTGAGAGGTACCCATTTTGGTGCATTTAGCATTGGCTTGTGCTTTTTTCTTTCTCTCTCTCTCTCTTTTTTTTTTTATTTGACAAGATCTTGCTCTGTCCACCAGGCTGGGTGCAGTGGCATGATCATGGCTTACTGCAGCCTCGACTTCCTAGACTCAAGTGATCCTCTCACCCTAGCCTCCTGAGTAGCCACAACTACAGGCATGCGCCACCATGCCTGGCTAATTTTAAAATTTCTGTAGAGACTAGGTCTCCCTGTGTTGCCCAGGCTGGTCTTGAGCTTCTGGGCTCAAGCAGTCCTCCTAAAGTGCTGGGATTACAGGCGTGAGCCACTGAGCCTGGCCGGTTTGTGCTTTTTCATCACTGCGTGGTATTGTATTTTGTGAATGTACCACAGTGTATACCTCCATCCTCCTGCTATGGACATCTGGATATCCTCCCATTTTTGTCTGTTATGCACAAAGCTGCTCTTACCCTTAATTTCAACATATATTTGCCCACTTCCTCTAAAATCTATCAGTACTTCTCAATCTGATCTAAAATCTCCTCAAAATCTCTGGGTGAGACTCTGAAGTTCAGGACATTATCCAGAAAGATCCACCAAGCTCAAGAATGCACAGCTAATACGAGGGCAGACCCTTGCATTTTACCAATCGCTCTCACAGGTATCAACTCTCAACAATCACAACCATCCAAATGGGCAACGTGGGGCTGCTTGGCAGCGTTCCCTACCTTCCCGAGCTGTGTACTCATTGTCCTCAATGATCCGGGCCAGGCCAAAGTCAGCAATCTTACACACCAAGGATGCAGAGACCAAGATGTTGGCGGCTCGGAGGTCTCGGTGGATGTAGTTCCTCTGCTCGATGAAGGCCATGCCTTCTGCAATCTGCACCCCAAACAGAGACACCTTTGTCCTCAGACCTGGCCTACGCCAAGAATGGCCCCACCAGAAAGCAGCAGAGAGGTGTTTAAGTGGAAGAAAATGGGAAATGTCTGCACCAGCCCTCCCTTTTTTGTCAGGAGGGCCCCAGGGCTCAGGGTGGCATTCGTCCATCAATCCATTCAGGTTAGGGGGATCCCTAAGGCCTGGGCCAGTCTGGGGGATTCTCAAGAGTTCCAAGACTTCCAGAGAGCACTTTGAAATGTTCTCAGGGAAAAAGCAATGGGACTATTTCTCCGGGACCTATTCTTCCAGGAACATACACACACACACACACACACACACACACACACACACACACACACACCCTAGGATACTATGAAGAGCTTTCACCTTCAACTCTCTTTCTGGGGACAACCTAGGCTCATGTCATATTCTGCTATACCTCTCCTATCTTCCTCATGCCCCAGCCTGGGTAAGGAAAATTCACCTATTTACTCAAAAGAAATCTACTGAGTGTCTTGTGGGTGCCAGACATGTTGCTTGAACAGGTGACGAGCTAGGCAAAGCCCCTACAGGTGGTAAGTACCATAAAGAAAAGATAAAATAGGCTGGGCATGGTGGCTTACACTTGTAATCCCAGCACTTTGGGAGGCCGAGGTGGGTGGATCACTTGAGGCCAGGAGTTCGAGACCAGCCTGGACAACATGGCAAAAACCCATCTCCACTAAAAATACAAAAAGAAGATAAGCGTGGTGGTGCACGCCTGTAATCCCATCTGCTCAGGAGGCTGAGACACGAGAATGGCTTGGACCCAGGAGGCAGAGACTGCAGTGAGCTGAGATCGTGCCACTGTCCGCCAGCCTGGGTGACAGAGCGAGACTCTGTCTCAAAACGAAAAAAAAATAAAACAGAGTAACAAAATATGACCTGTAGAGAGCTTTTTCAGATTGGGCGTTCAGGGAAACCTGCTTTGAGGGGGTGAGATTTTAGCAAAGATCTGAATGGTGATAATAATAAGTGTGTCACATAAGAATATTCTAGGCAGAGAGAACATCAGGTGCAAAGGCGTGGAGGTAGGAAAGAGCTTGGGTGTTCATGGAACAGCAGAGGCCAGTGTGGCAGCAGAAGATGCCACAGAGAGAGTGTGGAGAGTTGAAGTGGAGAGGAAGGCCGCCAATCATGAACTGCCTTGTAGGCCAGGAGAGGAGGGTGGGTTTTATTCTGAGCGTGCTGGGGAGATATTAGAGGCCTTCGAGCAGGAGCGTGACATGTTCTGATGTACATTTAAAGATCACCATGGCTGCTGAGTGAATAACAGACTGCGGGGAGGATTCTTATTCACGCCAGGGACCCTAGAAGCCTCTGATGAAAACACAGGGATTATATCTTGCAGACATTTTTACTTACAAGGGTTTGGAAAAGAGAGGTTGAAGATGAAACCTCAGATGCCCAGAAAGCAGCACTTTTGGTTTGCAAACTGGGCTATGAGCTCTTTGAGGCAGGAATGACCATGATCTCTGTTTTACAGACACGGAACCACTTGTTCCAGATCACACCACCAGGAAAATTCTGAATGTCAGACTCAAACCAGTCTGAGGACTCCCAATCCAGTGCTTCCTGCTGCCTCTAAATAACCCAGCACTCCAGTGCTCCGGCGGACTGCAGCTGGGTGCAGTCTGATGAAATTATTCTGGAAGCCAGGGCGTCTGACCAGACCGAACAATCAAAGCACCACCGCGGGCTTCTCAAGGTCTGAGGCAAGTGGGTGGCGCACTTGCAAGGAGTGGACAGCAGGGGGCACCCGAGGCAGTTAGAATGGAGACCCATGCTTTTCTTTTTTCTTTTCTTTCTTCTTTTTTTAATTTCTTTTGAGACAGGGCCTTTCTCTGTCACGGAGTACAGTGGTGGGATCACAGCTTACTGTAACTTGTGCCTCCTAGGCTCAAGCAGTCTTCGCACCTCAGCTTCCCAAGCAGCTGATACTATAGGTGCATGCCACTATGCCAGACTAAATTTAAAAAGAACTTTTTTTTCTTTTTTCTTTTTTTTTTTTTTTAGAGAGAGACAAGGTCCCACTACGTTGCCCAGGCTGGGCTCAAAGGCTCCTCCTGCTTCAGCTTCCCAAAGTGCTGGGATTACAGGCCTGAGCTGTCACGCCCAAGGGAGACCCAGAGACCCAGATTTTTCAGTAAAAACTTGGAAGAGACTCTGATTTTGTTTGAAATAGTTAGATGTGGGGATGAAATGGGGATGAGGTTGCCAGGGTGAAGTGAGACAACATCTTGGCCCTCGGAGTGTGGGAAATTTATGGGTTCTTAGATGAACAGTTAACAAAAATTATTATGCTAATGGAAGGCATCATATCTTATTTATAAGATGATACTTAAACACTTACGTGACATTTACCATATGCTTTGGAGGAGGCACTTTTGCTATCAGCCCCATTTCCACAGACAAGAAAACTGAAGCCCAGAGAAATAGGTAAGTGGCCCCAGCTTACACAGCTTGCAAGTTGCGGAGCCACGGATGGAGCTCCAAAAGCGCTGCTTGGGGTCCACACTTATCTGTTACTCGGCCCTGCCTTTTTGCCTCGCTTTTCTTCTGGAGCAAGCACTAAACTAATGCCGGTAGTTACCACTGTTTGATCCTCACTGGCAGATGCCCATATGCTACTGATTTTCACAGGAGCTCAATGGGGCAGGGATGACACCCCACTTAGGAGACAGCAGAGGGTAATCACTTAATGACTCTGGAGCTGGACCAACTCAGCTTGAGCGCTGCAGCTCTGTGATGTCTAGCAAGTTGTGTCATCTCTCTGTACCTCACTTTTCTTCTCTGTAATAGCACCTGGTTCCAAGGGGTCATGTGAAGATGAATCCCCTAAGCCTACGTCAAAGGCTCAGTAGAGTGTTTGGCACATAGTTAAGTATTTATTTCAAGAGTGGCTCCCAGTGCTCCCAGTGGGGGAAAGTGGCACTCAGAGAGGTTAAGCAACTTGCTTGAAGCTACACAGGCAGAGGTGAGATCAAAACAAAACTCTATGTGACTCCTAAGCCCAGATGCTAATAGTGTTGCTGCTCAAGGATTTGCTGACTGAATGAATAACGAGTAGGTTTATTGGGCCCAGGTGTAAGCACTCACTGCAGGTTGATAAAGTGGTGAGATTTCATGACCCCCAAATAGGGTGCCTTGGAACTTGGTTTTGCTTCCAAAGGGAGTCACAGCATCAGAGCTGGAAGGACCTGCAGAGCTCTTCAAACTGAATCCTATGGATGCCTCAAGGTTGTATGGGTGGGGGAGACAAAAGAAAGGCCACAGATAAGCCCCCACCCTGCTTCAGTCAGAGCAGCTCTGTTTTGACCTGTTTGTATATATGCAGCTACTGCATAACATTTCGACCACAGAGCTGTGACCACAAAAACACCACATGCGTGGTCCAGTTCTCTCATTTCCACCTGCTGCTCCAAGCTGCCTCTCTGAGTCTGGAGGTGAAGACCAAGGCCCCAGGTGGGCTCCTTTCTGTCCCTGGGCTCTAAATCTACCTCTGCTTCTGGACAGATGAAGGCCCAGAACCTCTTTTCCTCCCTTGGTTTGTTTTCCCCTCTGTGAAATGGGGAGAGTGGCTCTTGCCCAGTCCGTAACTGCTGCCCAGCAGGGTTTCTGCTAGTTCGAAGATGACAATTTAGCAACAAACCAGTCTATTGTCTCCCAGAGGACCTGGCCCATTGGAGTGAAAACACATTTCCATATGCCTCTGGCATTCCGGGCTCTGAAAATAGGGTCTTTTGTTACACTTTGTGGTGTCCTATGGGCCCCTGGAATTTGCATACTCAAATGAGCCTTGCCCTTGGCGTCTCCAGCAGGCCCAGCTGAGGCCCAGGCAGGGTCTCACTCAACTCCAACCACCCTCTGGGCTCCTGCTGAGTAGGCTGAGCTCCTTCACCTACTTTTGCACAGGCTGTTTCTTTTGTCTAGAAGACCCTTCCCTTTTCTCTTCATTTATTGAACTTCTACTCTTCCTTCAGGCTCAGCCTAGAGGCCACTTCCTCCAGGAAGCATTCTCTGATTGCTCCTGGACCAGGCTAAATGCTCTAGCTATGCACTCTAATACTACCCAGTCCTTACACTCTGTTTTTCCATACATCGGAGAGAGAATGAGAGAGGACAGAAGTAAAAAACTGCTCAGGCTGGGGGTGAGAGGAGCTGCAAGGGGCATGGGGAACATGAGAAAGAAAACGAGGTGTTCAGCAGTGTTTCTGCGATTTGCGAACATCATTTACTTTGTTAGCTACTGTGCTGTTTTGACTCAGCCAGGACCACTTGGGTCATGGTCCCTAAGAAATTCGGTTATTTAATACCCATCTTCCCTTCTGGACTGTGAACTCTATTAGGACAGGAACATTTTCATTTTGTTCACTGCTATATCCCCCATAATTAGCACAGTAACTTATGCAAGCCACTTGACCACACTGGGGCTCAGTTTCCGCATCTGTACTTTACTTCTGCTCTATGCCTCTATTTCCTATTCTGTAAAATGGGTTGATAATTACGTACCTGTGGCCAGACTGTTATATTGGTGGAGGGGGCGTCCCTGGGATTTGTGTTCTTGGTCAGTCCCCTCCCACACTGATTCTGGGCATGGCTATGTGACTTGGCCAATGGACCATTAGCAAGCCTGATGCAGGCAGAGGCTTAATGAGAGCCTGCTCATGAAGGTTTGGCTCCTGGTCCAGCTCCATTTTGGAACCCAGCTGCTGCGCCGTGAAGAAGCTCAGGCTGCGCCGTGAAGAAGCTCCAGGGTGTCATGTGGAGACACCCTGGAGGCTGAGCCATGTCTTGGACATTCTGGCCTGGGCAAGTGCCAACAGGATGCATCCGCACCTCACTTTACCACGACAAGCGGAAGAACCACCCAGCTGAACCCCAGGCAACCCACAGGATCATGAGAAATAACAATTGTTGTTGTTTCAAGCTACTAGGACTTGGGTGGTTTGTTATACCAAAAAGGATAACAAAAATCCCAGCCTATAAAAGTTATAGGATGATTAAATGAATGAATACATGTATAATAAAATACCTGCAAAAAGCATAGTTTTATACTGAGCTCTCAATACATTTTACCCATTATTATTACTGCTGTCATCATAGTATGTGGTCAGTAAATATTTGGCAAATAAAAAAACTGAATTCCTGTTTTCCTTCCCCATTTCCTCGTTAGGCTCTCACCTGGGCTGAGAAATCAATGAGTTTTGGCAAGGGCTGCTTGCTGCCCTCATCACTTTTCAGAAAGTCCAGCAGGCTTCCTATATGGGGGAGAAGGGAGGAACATTTACTACTTTTACTATTTAATGACAAAAACCACAATTACTTTTGCACCAATCTAATACTTTAGTGTGTGGTGAAGATTTTTCATAGTAGTAGATTTAAATACAAATATTTGTTTGCAATTCCTAGTGTTTGAGAAAGAGAATTTGAGTTTTTGTGACGTGACTTTTTGATTGCTGGATGAATTCTGTGACTGAGACAGCCCCTGAGCCTGGATGGCTGGGATCATGCCTTCACAGGACTGGCATAATTGCAGTTAAAATGAAAAAGGCTTGAGGTTTCAAATCGCCCTAAATGGGATTGTGTGAGATGATTCTGTTTATCAAAAACTGGGCAGAGTGGCTAGGCATGAGGCTCACACCTGTAATTCCAGCACTTTAGGAGGCTGAGGCGAGAGGATCACCTGAGGCCAAGAGTTTGAGACCAGCCTGGGCAACATAGAAAGACCCCATCTCTAGAAGAAATTTACAAATATGTATGTTAGGCCAGGCTCAGTGGTTCATGCCTGTAATCCCAGAGCTTTGGGAGGATCACTTGAGCCCAGGAGTTTGAGACGAGTTGGGTCAAGATGGCGAGACCCTATCTCTAGAAAAAAATTTTAGAAGCTGGACATGGTGGCTCACGCCTGTAATCCCAGCACTGTGGGAGGCTGAGGCAGGCGGATCACGAGGTCAGGAGATCGAGACCATCCTGGCTAACACAGGGAAACACCGTCTCTACTAAAAATACAAAAAAATTGGCCAAGCATGGTGGCAGGCCCCTGTAGTCCCAGCTACTTGGGAGGCTGAGGCAGGATAATGGTGTGAACCCGGGAGGTGGAGCTTGCATTGAGCCGAGATCGCACCACTGCACTCCAGCCTGGGGGAACAGAGTGAGACTCCATCTCAAAAAAAAAAAAAATTTTTTTTTGGGGGGATGAGCTGGGTGTGGTAGGGCATGCCTGTAGTCCTAGCTACCGGGGAGACTAAGTCGGGAGGATCCTGGAGCCTCAGAGTTTGAGGGTACTGTGAACTATGATCATGCCACTGCACTCCAGCCTGGGCAGGCAGAGGGCAACCCTGTCTCTAAAAATAAATAAGTAAATAGATAAATAAAATTAGCTGAGTGTGGTGGCATGGGCCTGTAGTCCCAGCCACTTGGGGGGCTGGGGTGGGAGGATCACTTGGGCCCAGGAGTTATGATTGCACTACTGCACCCCAGCCTGAGTAACAGAGTAAGACTCTGTCCCTAAAAAACAAACAAACAAAAAATGTCAGGGGTTGAAAATGGTTGTGAAACAGTGGCCTAAAAAAATTCCCCGAGAAATCCTGAGTTGTGGCAGGGTGGGGGTAGGGGCAGAACTGCTGCTTTGCCAGCTCCCTCTCCCAGGGCATTGGCAAGTACAGGGAAGGCGGCTGATGCCGGAGAGTGGCACCCCCACCACCCCCACCACACCCTGGCCCCTAAGGCTCACTGTGAACCATAAGCCCTTTCTCCCATCACCCAGGAGTATTCTGGCCCCATTCCCTTCTCCTGGTAGCCCCCCTTCTCCCTTCCCTGGTGACCCCTTAACATGATTTCACCGCACTGACCAGAAGGGCTGAATTGTTGCATGTTAGATTCTCAATGAGTGCTTGTTGGAAGAGCTCCTGGCCAGATTGGGGCCATCTCAAGGGCAAGAACCATGTCCAAGCTACCCTTGAGCCTGCAATTGACCAGTATAGGCCACAGCCTGCACTCCCAGCCCCAGCATGCAGCACCTTTGGCCATGAACTCCGTGATGATGTAGATGGGCTCCTTGGTAACCACCGCATGAAGTTTGACTAGCTTGTCATGCTGTAGAGTTTTCATCAGGTTGGCCTCTGCCAGGAAGGCCTCCACCGACATGCTCCCTGGCTTCATTGTCTTCACTGCCACCTTGGTGTGCTTGTTGTAGGTGGCTGGAGGGGGATAGAGAGCAGGGAAGTTGATCAGAGCCCACTGGTCTCCCTTACCACCCTAGAAGGCCCAGCTGCAGACCTGCCTCCTCCAGAAAGCCTTTCCTGCTCATCTCAACTCTCAGAGAGGGAAGCGAAGTCATGGGCTTAGGCCTCAGACAAATGAGGGTTGAAAGGCGGGTTCACCACTTCCCAGCTGTGCACACTAGGGCAAGTCGCTTAACCTCTCTGAGCAGGTGTGAGATGTGCTTCCTCAGCTGTAAAGTGGAAATGGTAAGCCTTGCCTTTGAAGTGCTGTTGCAAGGATTTAAAAATAGCTTTAAAATACCACTCAGGTTATGTCACACACACACACACACACACACACACACACACACTGCCCACTTTAATCTTAACATTGCTCTTAAATAAATGCTAGACTTACTATGACCCCCAGGCCCTGCATGGCCCAGCCTCGTCCTCCTCTCTAGCCTCATCAGCCACTAAACTCCCCTTCCCTTTTACGTGCCAGTCACCCTGCAGGTCACTCAGTCCCTCAAGCACCCAACTCCCCTCCCACCACAGGGATTTGGCACATGCTGTTCCCTCACCTCACCCCACCCTGCTTCATTTGGTGGGTCTTGTCAGTTTTATACTTGCTTGGGTTTCCATTTTGCCTTGGCTTCCAGGAAGCTCCAATCTAGAACCGTGGGCTTCCTGTAGTAGGAGTCTAGGGCCTTACATGATATTTTTGGCTTTCCAATCTCACCACTCAGATCTGTCTTACCTTCCTTTCCATATTTTCTTTTTTGTCAAATTCTTTTTAATTTTATTATTATTTTTTAGACAGAGTCTCACTCTGTCCCAGGCTGGAGTGCAGTGATGTGATCTTGGTTCCCTGAAACCTCTACTTCCTGGGTTCAAACGATTCTCCTGCCTTAGCCTCCTGAGTAGCTGGGATTACAGGCTCCCATCACCACGCCTGGCTAATTTTTGTATTTTTAGTAGAGATGGGATTTCACTATATTGTCTAGGTTTGTCTCGAACTGCTGACCTCAAGTGATCCACTCACCTCGGCCTCCCAAAGTGCTGGGATTACAGGTGTGAGCCACCGTGCCTGGCCTTGCATGCAGCAGAATCTCAATAAATATAGTCAAAATACATGGATTTTAAACTTATTTTATCTGGCTGAGTTGTTTGCATCCCCGTAAATTGTCTTCGCTCCCATCTGGAACATAGTGGAGTATTAACACAGCAGGGTCCCCACACTGGGCTGGGCACTGCATCTACCCTACACCCCTGCAAAGCAGGCAATGTTGTTTTTAAGTTCTTGGGGAAAATCAGCAGTTGTGAGATGTGCTTTTCTGATTTTCCCACAAGACCCTAACAGTGCTGGGCACACAGTAGGTGCTCAGAATAACCTGTTCATCAGTTGCCTGGAAATCTCCAAGCTGCATTTCCCCATTCTTAATTTTCATCATCTGAAAAGGTCTTTGGTTATCTCATTCCTAAACTATTAGGCAGTCCCCACTCCGTATGAGGGAGGGATTCCTCATCCGTGACACCTGCTTCCCAGAAGGAAGTGTCTGACCCCTACAGGACTGGTCTCAAAGGCAAATCAGTGTTTGCACAGCAAGACAATTTGGTTTGCTATCAGAGAACTGCTTCTTTATGGCTATTATTTAAATCTCCCCTTCTGCCTTGGGTAGCATTCGCACTTTGCCATAAGGTGTTCCTAGAAGCAAGTGACCTCCCTCTTCCCTCCACCCTCTGGCCCTGTGGGCTCTGGCCCTGGGTCCTTACCCATCCAGACTTCCCCAAACTGCCCGGCTCCAAGTTTCTTCTCCAGCTTGAGGGATTCCCGAGGGATCTCCCAGGCATCTTTCTCCCAAGGCTTCTGGGGCTTGGAAGACATGCAGGGCACCGACAGTTTCTGGCAGAGCCCATCACTCCCCTCTGGAACAGAGTCCCTGGTCAATTGAGAGCAACAAGCACCAAGCCAGCCAGCCAGAGGTTGCTCCTCGGAGGCCGCCCTGCCTGGTCCACTGGACCAGTGTTCCACCTGGTGGCCACCATCAGAGACATTCCCAAGCAAGCAGAGTGTGACGGGGTGCCACCTCTACATCCTGGTCACCCCACCCTCCTGCTCAACAGTCCTAAACCTTCAGAAGCACCCAAAGCATCTGTCTGGGGATGGCCAGGAAGAACACAGCAGGTCTCAGGGGCTGCAGTGCATCCATGACTAGGAGTCTCCAGGACCATCGCGGTGGGGATGCCGCCGCCCCCTGCCCCCGGGGTGGGACTCACTCTTGTAGTGGTCCACCAGCTCCTGCAGGGTGCTGAAGGTGCTTCGGGGGGATATGTAGAAGCCCCCGTTGTCCAGGGTCCGGATTTTGTAATGTTTCACAGTATCTCCCTGCCGAGGGTCGTAGTCTCGCACGGACAAAGAGTAGCTTCCTGAATTGACCAAAGAGAAACCCCTCAGAATAGCATCTTGGAGGCCTGCCACCTTGCATAGCACTCTCACACCCCATAAGGCTACCGCTGGCACCTCAGCAGAAATGCACAAGGGTCTGAGTGGGCTGTGGGAGTCAGGCATCCTGGGCTCTCATCCAGGCTCTACCACACCCCCCCGTGAGACCTTGGCCACGTGACTATGTCACCTCTCTATGCCTCATTTTCCTCCTCTGTAAAATGAGAATAGTTTTCATGCCTCCCTACCTGATCCTATTGCCTGATGGCTAAAAGAAGTAACCCCTGTAAACTACTTGGAAACTGAACACTCCGCAAATGTTGGCTATCATCATCATCATCTTCATTATTTCTGATCTATTGATCCATCTTTCTATCATCTACCCTACAAAAAGCCAAGAAACCATACTGTACTTTTTACTTTTTCATAAGAACTCAGGCTACGACTTTTCCGGAAAAAATCCAGAAATCCAGTTCAGTTATTGAAATGTGAACATGCTGTGGTAGGCTCAATAATGATCCCTCAAGATGCTCATGCCCTAAACCCTGGAACCTGGGAATATGTTACCTTACATGGTAAAAGGGACTTTAGATATGTGATTAAGTTAAGGATCTGGAGATGGAGGGATTATTCCAGATGATCCAGGTAGCCCCAGTGTAATCACTTGGGTCCTTGTTAGAGGGAGGTAGGAGGTCAAAGTGGAAGAGGTGAAGATGGAAACAAGAGCTTGGACAGAAGTCAGGAAGGGGCCATGAGCCAAGGAATGCTGTAGTCTCTGGAAGCTAAAAAAGGCAAGAAAATGAGTTCTCCCCTGAAGCCCCCAGAAGGAACCAGCCCTGCTGACATTTTGAGCCCAGTGAGGTCAGACTACTGATCCCCAGAACTGTTAGAGAATAGACAGGTGTTGTTTTAAGCCAGTAAGTTTGTATTAATTTGTTACAGCAGCAATGGGAACCTAACATACATATTACGCTAGTGCAAAAGTAATTGCAGTTTTTGCCATCAAAAGTAGTGGAAAAAACTGAAATTACTTTTGCACCACCCTATATTATCACATAGAGCAGAAACACATAAGTCTTTCAGCTCATGACCACTGTTTTGCCATTTGTCAGCTGAGTGCCCTTGGGCAAGTTATTAGTCCTTACGTCTCAGTTTTCTCTACCATGATAATAGCACAATGTCATAGGATTTGGGGAAGTTTAAACTTTTTTTTTTTTTTTTGAGTTGGAGTCTCACTCTGTCACCTGGGCTGGAGTGCAGTGGTGCAATCTTGGCTCACTGCAACCTCTGCCTCCCAGATTCAAGTGATTCTCCTACCTCAGCCTCCTGAGTAGCTGGGATTACAAGCATGTGCCACCATGCCCAGCTAATTTTTGTATTTTTAGTAGAGATGGGGTTTTGCCATGTTGGCCAGGCTGGTCGCCAGCTCCTGAGCTCAGGTGATCCACTTGCCACAGCCTCCAAAAGTGCTGGGATTACAGGCTTGAGCCACCTCACCTGGCCAGTTTATACTGCTGAATGAATAATAGCTTACCATACATGCCAGGCAAGTTCAAAGCACTCTGTGTAAATGAACAATGAATGAATAAGAATAATATTCATTATAATGAATTATAACTATATAAATTATATTATTTATTTAATGAATGAATAACTTCCTGGGGTAGGGGTTTTATAATATCATCATCCTCATTTATAGATGAGGAAACTGAAGCCCAGAGAGGTGAAGTAACTCACCCACAGTCACACAGCTAGTAAGTGGCACAGCTGGGATTCAAATCCAGGCAGCTGGCTCCAGAGCTGCTCTTCGCCACTCTGTCCCAGTTGTGGGTGAGACTGGCTTGGTTGCCGCTGGATGGGGCGTGGCAGGATCTAAGAAGTAGCAGGGTGGGATTCAGGGGCCTCATGCTGCAACTGTTATTAAATCGGCTACACTTCCCACCATGCCCCATCTCAGAGGGCTGTGAAAGCTGGACCAGGCTCATTTTCCTGCCCCACAGATCTGTGATGGTTTCTTTGATTTCTCTGCCCTTGTCTGCAGAATGGACCAGCCCAAGCCAAAAGCTGTCCTGGGCACAGCTAGAGAGGAGAAGCGCTGGGCTGTGCACAGCTTTGTCTTTTTGTCTCCTTTTTTTTACCCCCTGGGAGCTTGAACAGGGCTCGCTGGGTGGAAGGAGGCAAAGCCCCAGCATTTACTGAGCTGCCACACTGACTGTGAGTAGCATTATCCTAGCCACATGAAAGCGTCGCCAGTTCAGATAGCTGAGGGTCAAGTAGAAGGCCACACGAGGAACATGCCTTTAATCAATGTCCCCAAATCTGTTTGCTTCAGGGTACCCTGAGGTCACATTTTATACAATATACTTGCTTATTTGAGTCAAGCAGCTGTGAACCTAAATAGTAAAGGTGGACTTAGCGCATGAAATCTGAAATCACAAAAATCCTACTGATGCTCATTCCTTTGAGGCAATGAGCCTCAATCGATGCCAGTTTGAGCTACGCGATGTTTTCCAGGCCTGTTCTTGCCATCCATGCACCCAACCAGCATGAATCCACCCTTGCAGCACAGAAATTCCAGGAAGCTGGTCACCTGACATTAAAACTTCCAAAAGCTTCCAAGGAGCATTTTCAGCAGAGTCCCAGAGAAGTCTGGCTTGATTATCTTCTGGCGACCTCATCCTACCTCATTTCCTTACAGAGGAAGGAAAGGAGGAAAGAGGCTTGTGGATAAAATATATTGTAATAGGTATTTTATTTTATTTTTTTAGAGATGGGGTCTTGCTCTGTTGCCCAGGCTGGAGTCCAGAGGCTCCATTACGGCTCACTGCAGCCTTGAACTCCTGGACTCGAGAGATCATCTGACCTCACCCTTGCAAGTACTGGGGAGTACAGATGTGCGCCACCACGCTTGGCTAATTTTTCAAATTTTTCGTAGAGATGGGGTCTCATTATGTTGCCCAGGCTGGTCTCAAACTTTTGGGCTTAAGTAATCCTCCTGCCTTGGCCTCCCCTACTTGGTCTCTTATGGGTATTTAAAAAAAAAAAACAAAACAAAAAACAATCCTGATACTTTGTAATCCTGACACTTTGGAAGGCTGAGGTAGGCAGACTGCTTGAGTCCAGAAGTTCGAGACCAGCCTAGGCAACATGGCAAAACCCCATCTCTACTAAAAAGGAAGACAGACAGACAGATAGAAAGACAGAAAGAAAAGATTAGCCAGCATGGTGGCACCTACCTGAAGTCCCAGCTACTCGGGAGACTGAGATGGGAGATCATTTGAGCCCAGGAGGCAGAAGTTGCAGTGAGGTGAGATTGTGCCACTGCATCCCAGCCTGGGCAACTAAGTGAGACTCTGTCTCAAACAGAACAAAACAGGCTGGGCACTGTGGCTCACACCTGTAATCCCAGCACTTTGGGAGGGCGAGAGGGGTGGATCACAAGGTCAGGAGATTGAGACTATCCTGGCCAACATGGGGAAACCCTGTCTTTACTAAAAATACAAAAATTAACTGGGCGTGGTGGCAAGTGCTTGTAATCCCAGCTACTTAGGAGGCTGAGGCAGGAGAATCGCTCAAACTCGGGAGGTGGAGGTTGCAGTGAGCCGAGATCGCGTCACTGCACTCCGGCCTGGCAACAGAGCGAGACTCTGTCTCAAAAAACAAAACAAAACAAAAACCAAAACAAATGAAAAACCAAGTTAGTGAAGATCAAGCTTCGGCTGGATGTTTCTTTGTTTTCAGGGCCTAAGCCACATGGCACTAGTGCCACTGACCTAAACTGGCAGCTGTGGGGAATTAGACGGGCCAAGCCAGGCACAGATCCTCAAACCTCCCTGGCTTGGGTGGTCAAGAGCAGGAGAAACCTGGCAGCCACAGCACCTGGTTGGGTTTTTCAGCCTTTGCTAAGGCATTTTCCAAGGGAAGGGTGGTGGCCAGTCCCACCTGGGGCACCTCTGCAGGGAGGACAGTGTGGGGTGGGCTGGTGTCACCTTTAGTGGTCTCGCTATCCCGGATCATGAAGGAGCCCAGCATGTTGCCGGGAGCCAGGAGTTGGCGCTCTGCGTCCTTCCGGCCGATGCCCTTGAAGAACCACCTGATGGAAAAGGGAGGGGACAAATGTGAACCTGGGGTCGTGCAGTCCTGTCCTGCCTACACAGGGTGCCTGTGGCCATGCAAGTCCCAGGGGGATGTCAGGATACAGAGGGTCTGGCTTCCTGCAGCATCAGTTTTACTCAAGGATTTTTTTGGGGAGAGAGGGGAAAGAAGCCATTCTTTTGATATCCAAATAGACATTTTACCAAGGTGAATTCTGTGTGCTGACACTGAAGCCTATGCAATTTGGAGCGGGGGAGCTTCCTTTAAGAAAAATAATACAGCATTACAAGTGCAAAAAGCTGACGGGTCATTCCAGTGCCACTTGCTGTGAGGGACAGGAAGACAGAGTGGAAACAGACAGCAGTCTTAACCAACTGTGGTCAAAGTCTTACTTTTGCAGATTTCACAAGCATACAAGATCCTTCTTGGGACCTTGGAAACCTGTGAAGGGCCTGCGTTTTGTTAGCTTTGCAATGCTCCTCTGCATATACAGAGTTGAATGTAAAGTTGGCATGAACTTCTAAGCTACAACGTGAGATTGGAAAGAATTTTATACTTAGGATCATATCCTGGGATCTTTTCTTCATTCTTCCTGAGTATTGGAGATATTTGGGTGGAAAAGTTCAAGCAGCAGCAGCTGAATCCATTCTCACCTTCACTAGGGTGAGGAGCAGTTGGAAAAAAGCCGCAGACCTGACTGACCTCAGCCCACCTTGGCCCTGCCACAAACCTGCAGTCTGACTTTGAGCAAATTCCCTTCCTCTTTGGGCCTTTGGTTCCTCTGTTATCAACTGGGGAGAAAGTTAACATCTATCTTGCTGTCTACCCAACAGCTCTATGGAGTTGTCACCTGTATCATTCCTTTTTTTTTGAGACCGAATCTTGCTCTGTCACCCAGGCTGGAGTGCGGTGGCATGATCTTGGCTCACTGCAACCTCTGCTTCTTGGGTTCAAGCGATTCTTTTGCCTCAGCCTCCCAAGTAGCTGGGATTACAGGCATGCACCACTACACCCAGCTACTTTTTGTAATTTTAATAGAGACGGGGTTTCACCATGTTGGCCAGGCTGGTCTCGAACCCCTGACCTCAGGTGATCCACCCACCTTGGCCTCCCAAAGTGATGGGATTACACGTGTGAGCCACTGCTTCCGGCCCCATTTTATGGATGATGAAATTGAGGAACAGAGAGGGCAAGTAATTTGCCTAGAGTCACACAGCTGGGAAGTTGCAGAGGCAGGATTTGAAGCTAGGCAGTCTAACTCCAGAACCCGAGATCTTAATCATCATGCTATGTTGCCCATCTACGTTCTTTGCTTTCATGTTATAAAGTGACTTGTGCCATGGTAAAATATTCAACAATGTAAAAGTAAGAACTGTCTCCCTGACAATGCTGCTCCTAGGAAGTTATCTCATGTATCTTGCACAAGGGAGAAATGACATATACACCAGGAGATTCGCTGCAGTACATGCCTGGAAACAACTGAAGAGACCACTGTATGGGGCAGAGGTTAAATGGACGGTAGGACATCTACGGGACAGACCCCCTGTGGTATAAAAAGGAAGGAGGTGTCCGGGAGCAGTGACTCACGCCTATAATCCCAGCACTTTGGTAGGCCGAGGCAGGCGGGTCCCCTGAGGTCTGGAGTTCGAGACCAGCCTGAACAACATGGAGAAACTCTGTCTCTATTAAAAATACAAAATTAGCCGGGCATGGTGGTGCATGCCTGTAATCCCAGCTACTTGGGAGGCTGAGGCAGGAGAATCACTTGAACCCGGTAGACGGAGGTTGCAGTGAGCCGAGATCGCACCATTGCACTCCAGCCTGGGTGACACAGTGAAACTCCTTCTAAAAAAAAAAGGAACGAGGTGCTGCACGGAAGGTCTGAATGAGAGGTATGGAACAGTGTGTGTGGTATCTACCACTTGTGTGAGTCAAGTGGGAAGAGATGTCTGTTCTTATATAAGGAAGAAGCATCTGGGAGGACTCACGAGAAACTGGTTGCTTCTGGGGAGGGGTTGGGGACAGGGTGGGAAGAAGACTTTTCACTCTCTCTTCTGCATGCTTCCCCACATTTGCATTTTGTAACATTTGAAAGTATTGCCTATTTCAAGGGGGAATGAGAGAAACTAAGATTCCATCCCGCCCTGATTCCCAAGGTCCCAGTTGTGCTCCCCAGAGGCAACCTCTGTTAGCAGTTTCTTGATTCAGACACAAGGACCCCTGAGTGCCCTGAAGACAGATATGCATATTCATTTTTAATTTTTATTATTATTTTTTGAGATAGAGTCTCGCTGTGTCATCCAGGCTGGAGTGCCTTGGCGTGATCTTGGCTCACTGCAACCTCTGCCTCCCAGATCAAGCGAATCTCGTGCCTCAGCCTCCGAGTAGCTAGGATTACAGGCACCCGCCATCACACCTGGCTAATTTTTGTACTTTTAGCAGAGGCAGGGTTTCACCATGTTGGCCAGGCTCTTCTCGAACTCCTGACCTCAAGTGATCTGCCTGCCTCGGCCTCCCAAAGTGCTGGGATTACAGGTGTGAGCCTCTGCGCCTGGCCAGATATGTGTATTTAGATCAGTGGTTCCCAAGCTGGGTCCCGGGAGCAGCAGCAGCAGCAGCTACCTCACCCAAGAACCTGTTAGAAATGCACATTCGGAATCTGACAGTGGGACCCCGGAAAGCACTTGTTAGCCAGCAATCCGGGCGATGCTGATGCTGCTCGTGTCTGAAAACCCCCCACCTAGGTTATTTTGCCTTTGTTTGCAAATGATAACCCCCCATTCATGTTGTCTACACTCTGCATTTTCCACTTAGCAATTATGTTGCCTTTGAGAAATAATACCAGCCATGCCTCCTCCAAGGTTGCTGCAAGGACCACATGAGGTGACCCAGGCATTCTGTAAGTGTTCAGACCCTGGAGTGGAGAAACAGAATGGGATGACTCAGGGCAAAGCCTGAAAGAAGGAGAGAGAAGCAGCTCAGAGCCCCCAGTTCCATGATCACTAAGAAGGGGTGGCATTATTATTATTTTTTTTTCTTTTGACAAAATATCGCTCTTGTCCCCCAGGCTGGAGTGCAGTGGCGTGATATTTCGGCTCACTGCAACCTCTGCCTCCCGGGTTCAAGTGCTTCTCCTGCCTCAGCCTCCTGAGTAGCTGGGACTACAGGTGTGCACCACCACACCCAGCTACTTTTTTTGTATTTTTAGTAGAGATGGGGTTACACCATGTTGGTCAGGCTGGTCTCAAACTCCTGATCTCAGGTGATCTGTGTGCCTTGGCCTCCCGAAGTGCTGGGATTTCAGGTGTGAGCCACCATGCCCAACCAGAAGGGGGTGGCTTTAGAGTGGGAAAAGCCCAGACGTTTTCATTTTTAACAAGCAAGCATCCCAAACCCATAGTACCATCTAGCTAGAAAGAGGAGGCAGAAGAGACAAAATAATGGGAACTGTCATTTGTCAACTTTTGATTGGCTGGTTTTTAATGGGATGTACTGCCACCCCTCAGTGTAGTCATCTTTTTACTCATCAACCTCATCCACCATACAGAGAAATCTCCAGCGGGGAGCCCCATCTGAGTCATCTTGTATCCCTGGAATAGGGAATCAACAGGTATCTGTTGGATGATGGATGGATGGATGGATGAATGGATGGATGGATGGGTGGATGGATGGATGATTGAAGTATATTTTTAGAGTCAAACTAGACATGAGAAGAACCCACAGCCAAGAACGATGGGTTACGGGGAGCTCCTTGAGGGTAGGGAGATATCTTATTTGTTTCCACAGCCCTTAGCCTGGCACAGGGCTTGAAGAGTCATGGGCATGTGTTTGTTGAATGAATCAAATGAGGGATGGTCCAGGTGCAGTGGTTCAGGCCTATGATCCCAGCACTTTGGGAGGCTGAGGCGAGAGGATCACTTGAGCCAGGGAGTTTGAGACCAGCCTGGGCAACATAGGGAGACTAAAAAATTAGCTGGGCATGGTGATGCACACTTGTAGTCCCAGCTACTGGGGAGGCTGAGGTGGGAGGATCACCTGAGCCTGGGGAGGCTGAGGTTGCCGTGAGCTGTGATGGTGCTCCTGCATTCCAGCCTGGGCAACAGAGTGAGACCCTGTCTCAAAACAAAACAAAACAACAAATGAGGGATGACTGGCCAGGTGTGAGCTGTCTCACCTCTCCAGAGACCCTTCTTGGCAAGACCATATGCTTCATTCAACAATATTTATTGAGCACTGACTGCATGCCAGCCTGTGCCGAGGATGCAGCAGCAGACAAAGTCCCCGCTCTCACCAGCTCTCTTCCTTGCAGGGCAGGCAGAGAATGCACGTGTAACCAACCAAAGAAACAAGGTCGTTTTGCTAGTAAAACATGTTGAGAAGGGAATAACACAGGTTTCCACAAGACAGAGTCACAGTGGGGACCCACTTTAGCCTCTCTTCCCTGACTGGAAGGATGAAACCTGAAGGAAGAGAAGGAGCCAGTCAAACCCAGAGTCCTGGGAAGAGTATGTGCCAGGCAGTGGTACAGTGTGTGCAGAAGTCCTGAGTTGCAAACAAGGCTGACTTTGCTTGACTCTTTCTGGAAGGTAGGAAATAGGATACTTACTCCTCTGTCTCCAGAGAGTCAACGCGGGCGACATAATTGCTTGGGATGTAGCCCTCCTTCCGGGTGGCTAGGGATCGAGCCTTCCACCACTCCCCGGATCTGAGGGACAGGAGGGAGTAAAGGTGTTAGGGGCAGAAGGATCATTCTCCAGTCTCCTCAAGCTCCCCAGCATTGACCTAGAAAATCCCCTGCCTCCAGAAAGCCAGTAGGGTAAGGGACAGGGCTGTGACTATGTCAGCCCCCCAGCATGTGCCCATGATTAGGGTAGGGATCCTTACGACAGTTCCTATTGTGCATCAGAGGGTCTGGAATCACCCTGTCCACAGCCCAGAGCCCTGGGTCTCTGGCTCCACTCCTCTTCCCTGGACTTGTAACTTTAGTCTTATTAGCTATACCCATGGCGAGGTCCTGCGCCCATGGAGACTCAGAATGGTTCAGCTGGGGCTGATAATAGGGGAGAGTGGGCTTGGGGGTCCAACCAGGCATGACCTCTCCCATTCTCGGGATTCAGCACATCCTGGACACTATACCCACGATGGTGAAGGCTGTAGGAGATCGGAGGTGGAAAACTCAGAGATCCAAGGATTTCCGAATGTAAGGTCACCTTGATGGGGCCTGGTCCACAGGTAAAAACCGTTGGCTTAATCACAGGAGCCCTAGGAAGGCTTCCCTGAGAAAGCTTCACCTGTTCATCCCAGGCTGGACGTGCACTCTTAGTAAGTGCACAATCCCCTTCATCCAGGTTGAGGGCAAACCCTTCCTCCACTGTTGTGATTAGCTTCTCTTTAGACATTTGTACCCAGGATAAGATAGCCCATCTATCAGGTTCTTTATGGAAGCACAAAAGAGCACATAGTTGAGTAGAGGAGGCAGGTCTGTCTTAGGGGGAGTGGGATGGGGACTCACTCCTCTAGGACGACCATCTGGTCCCCCTTCTGGAAGCTGAGGTCTTCATGGTGAATGGCCTCATAATCATACAGGGCAACCACGATGATGTCCTCAGAGCCTGTTGGAAAGGGAGACACACGGAGGGTGAGGTTTCGTCTAAGTGCATCCACAGCCCTGGGTGACCCTCGCCTGGCACCTGGCACAGCTCTGCACCCATCAATATATGGCTCCTAGTATAAGTAGGCATCTCACCATGCTGGGTGTGATTCTCAAGTTTAAAGCTAAATATGTTTTGTTCATGTTACTAAACAGCGTTCTAGAAACACAATAGCCTGTGCAAAGTACTTCAGAGGAAATTTCGGGGATTCTCAATGGGGGTTCGACTGTTTGGGATTTTTGCCTCAAGCTGAGTGAGCCTAGTGGAATCCTCTGCAGGACACGTGACTCCACTGCATCTGCTCGGAGATACTTACCCTCCCCAATTCCTGGTGTGTTCCTGTTGTTGCTATTAGGCCCCTGTGGGGAAGAAATGGGAGAAGGGTATGAATCTGACCAATGTGTGGGGACCCACGGAAGGTCTGTGTTGAGGATACCCAAGAGCATCTTACCCTAGCCCTGTATGTCATGGGAGGAGGCCCACATAGGGCAGGGGACATGCCTGGCACCACACAGCACATTAGAGGCAGAGCCAGCAAACAAAATGATCCAGGTTTTTTGTTTTTTGTTTTTGTTGTTGTTTGAGATGGAGTCTCACTCTGTCACCCAGGCTGGAGTGCAGTGGAGTGATCTCAGCTCACTGAAACCTCTACCTCCTGGGTTCAAGTGATTCTCCTGCCTCAGCCTCCTGAGTAGCGGGAATTACAGGCGCACGCCACCATGCCCAGCTAATTTTTTGTATTTTTAGTAGAGACGGGGTTTCACCATGTTGGCCAGGCTGGTCTCGAACTCCTGACCTCAGGTGATCTGCCCTCCTCAGCCTCCCAAAGTACTGGGAGAGCCACCGTGCCCAGCCAAGATCCAGGTTTCTTGAGTTGTGGCCTTGGCCTTCCATTTTGGACACACTGGGGGATGCTGCTTGACCCCTCCCCTCAAAACACAGTGAGGGGGTTGGTCCGGATCAGTGTTTTCTGACTACATTTGAAGAAATCATAGGCCCACCAATGATTTATAGTCCATAAATAAAGGCTCCATTATGTATGTGAAACAATCTAAGTGTCCATGCAAAGGGGAAATGACACCTAAACTGTGGTGTTCTAAGCAACGTCTTCTTCTTCTTTTTTTTTAAAGAGACAGGGTCTCCCTGTATTGCACAGGCTGGAGTGCAGTAGTGTGATCATAACTCATGCAGTCTCGAACTCCTGAGCTCAAGCAGTCCTCCCGCCTCAGTCTCCCAAAATGCTGGGAGTACAGGTGTGAGCCACTGCGCCTGGTCTGTGGTTTCATTTTTGAGAAGAATGTATTTGTGTGTCACACAGTAGGATTATTGTGAGGATTAGGGTGCTAATAACCGTAAAGGCTTAGAACGGTGCTTGGTTCACAGTCAGCTCTGCATAAACATAAAAGAAGTTGGTAAATACCTCTCCTAGCATGACTGCTTCTCTTTTTACAACTCTTGCTGTTGTTCCCGCTGCTACTCTTGGTCTTATACTCGTGCAATTATGGTTGGTACTATTACTATGACAATTGTTACTGTATTTTTGCAGTGCTGCTGATACTACCATTACGTGGTCACTTCAGCTGCTATCATGACTGGTCACTCATTATTCTCAGCACTGCTTTTGCTTCTGCCCAGGCCCAAGGCCTGAGATGCTCACTCAACCTGTTTGGTGGAGCCCAGGCTGACGGGTCAAACCTGGGCTGCAGGAAAAGAGAGGTGACTTCCTTGTCCCTATGCATGCTGGCACTGCATCCCGGAGAGTCGAGTCGGGTCACTGTTGGTGGCCAGTCAGCTCCCTTTCACTCCAAGCTCACCCTGCCCAGCCTTGGGAAGACAGGAGGCTGTTAGGGCAATGTTGGGGCAGCATCCGGCAGCCCACAGGGAAACTGGGACCTCCCTACTCACCGGCTTGATGGTGGATGTGGGATCCGGCACGTACACAGGGCAGTGTGGGTTGGCGCTGGTTTCAGTTTTGGAGAATGTATTGCCTCCGGCCTGGAGGAACTTGGACTTCATGCACCCCATCCTGCAGCAGACAGAAGGGAGGTGAGCCCCGGTTCCCAAGAGCCTCATGCGGGGAAGTCTTCTGATGCTGGCGTTCCAGGTCTCCTGCCCCCAGACTGGCTCCCACTGGTCTTCCCAGTCGTAACTCCCCTTCCAGATCCATGCACCCTCATCGTCCCCACACAGAGCCCACTCCATCCTTGCCACCTCTGGGCTTCCCCATGTCCACGTGACATAGCACTGGCCCAGGGCTGACAAGCTGTCATTGTCATGGGTACCAAGGACCAGCGTGATGGGTGTTTATTCAGGGGATGGCATGAGGATAACAGAAATGTAACAGGTCGAGCTGTTGGGGGGCAGAGCAGGTGGTGGGCACTGCTGGCTCTCAGGTCAGAAAGCCTCAGCTGATCCTTGGCCCCTCCACCCCACCAGCACCTCACTGACCACTTTCCTGCCCCCTACCCACCTCTCGGGTCTTCATCGGCAAAATGGGGACAATAATAAGACCTATGGTGGGGAAACACTCAGTGCAGTGTCAGGCTCAGAGCAAACACTACAGAAAAACTACAGTGTTATCTGATGATAAATTGCCATTTTTATATTAATAACAAGATAAGGTCACATAACATGGCTCAAACAATCTAGCTTGTCAAGGCCCTGTATTCCTGGTATCATTTTGTAAATGGCTTATAACTCCTTCCCTCCCTCCCTCCCTCCCTCCCTCCCTCCCTCCCTCCCTTCCTTCCTTCCTTCCTTCCTTTCTTCCTCCTCCCCCTCCTCTCCTTCCCGCCTCCTCCCTCCTCCTCCTCTCTCTCTTCTCCTTCTTCTTCTTCTTCTTCTTCCTCTTCCTCCTCTCTTTCTGTCTGTCTCTCTCTGAGTTATTTGGTAATTCATTCATCCATTTACACAGCCAACATTTACTGGGCACTTTTCTAAACTGTGAAAAAGGGAAGCAAATTCATGCCCTCAGGAATTCAACTGTAGCCGAATGGGAGACAGAGACAATAAACAGGCCAACAAATAAACAACAGGACAAATAACAGGACAAATTGAGTGAGTGAAAAGTGTGAGGACAATAAGAGAGGGTGCTACGGGAAACAACAAGTCTGGCCCTTTTAGGCAGGGCATTTGGCATTTGGGGAAGACCTCTCAGAGGAGGGGATACAGAACCTGCGGTCTAAATGACACGAAGGAGCCAGTCAGGGGACACTCTGAGGGAAAAGTGTTCCAAGCAGAGGGAACAGCAAATGCAAAGGCCCTGAGGCTGGCACGTGCTTGGAGAGAAGTTGGAGGCACTGAAAGCAGGAGAGTGTGGCTGAAGCGCATGGGCATGGGAGAGGGTGGTTGTGATGAGGCCACCACACCCTGGAGGGCCAGTGAGGACTTTGGATTTTATTCTAAGGATGATGGAAAGTTTCTGACAGGAGAATGATGGAATTCAATTTGCACTTTAAATAATCCCACCAGTGGCTGAGTGAGGTGTGGACAGTAGGGAGTAGGGCAGGGAACTCTGTGAGAAATCTGCCTAAATGTTCAGGAATGAGATGATGGTGGCCCAGGGCAGGGTGAGGGCAGAGAGGAGTTAAGCATTGGACAGGTTTGGGGAACATATTGGAGGTAGAGCTTGCAGACTTTGCTGCTGTATTCAATTAATTTAAGGATGCTTAAACAAAACACATTTACTCTGAGTAGAGTAAAAACATAATTGTAAAAGTGGAAGAAACGTTTCATTTATTTTCTCAAAATGTGCACACACATTTGCTGAGAAGGCAGGCTGTGACAACCACATAAGGAAGTGCTTGCTTTTCTCATCTCTGCACAATTGCCATTTTCTTCTAAAGCAGTTAGAACTCAGTTATACTTATCTTGTTAAAATAAACATGTGTTGTGGTTTAAGGAAAGAAAAAAAAAAAAAAACAACGCCCAAATTCTTAGGCTTAGACGAGTTACTTTCAAAAATGAAAAAAGATTCCTTTTATTTACAAGGATTTGCCTCTTCTGGTGGGAACTGGGGAAGATTTGCCACCTCAAGACTTGAGCAGTTTTGCTTCATTTGTCTTTTGGAAATAAAGTAAGGAACACATTCAGACTCTTGGAGTGCTGGATCATTAATTTGAAAAATTATCAGCCGGGCGCGGTGGCTCAAGCCTGTAATCCCAGCACTTTGGGAGGCCAAGAAGGGCGGATCACGAGGTCAGTAGATCGAGACCATCCTGGCTAACACGGTGAAACCCCGTCTCTACTAAAAAGTACAAAAAAACTAGCCGGGCGAGGTGGCGGACGCCTGTAGTCCCAGCTGCTTGGGAGGCTAAGGCAGGAGAATGGCGTAAACCCGGGAGGCGGAGCTTGCAGTGAGCCGAGATCCGGCCACTGCACTCCAGCCTGGGCGACAGAGTGAGACTCCGTCTCAAAAAAAAAAAAAAAGGAAAAGAAAAATTATCACAATTAATTACAGATTTATAATGTACTTGCATGCATTTAAAACTGAAACCGGCACCTCTCTTTGAAATAAATGTCCATGACAGTTCTGGGAAATTAAACATGCATCTTGTGTGGCGTGTATGACATAAAAGGATCTCACATTTCGTATGTTTTGGTCAGCATAAAGATTTTCTGGGAAGAGCAGCACTGTGTGAGGTAGGATAGCTCACTCTGTCTCTCTGGGCACCCACCGATCTGCAGCTGCGAGCATTGCGATTCCCAATCCACACGTGTTGAGCACCTCCTATGCTTCACTTACGTGATCAATGTACATATTCAAGATGGTCACAGGGTCCCGAGGGAGGGGTCTTGGAAGACCTGTGTTCATTCACAATCCAAGGCCATCTCTGAGAAAGGGTGGCGAGGGTTCTACCTCACAGGGTGGTGGTGAGCATTGAGCAAGTTGATGAGTGTCAAAGTGCCCAGCATGTAGTAAGTGCTGCAGAAACATTAACCACCACCATTTCTGTTTACTGGCAGACGTGGCACTGCCCCGGAGCATGAAGCAAGCACAATTTGCAATTCCTCTGACTCACAAGCCTAGATACCGCAACACTGGAGAAGTTCACTCTTTTTAAAATAGGGAATTCCCATGAGTTCCATTTTCTCACTATAAAGTGTGATTTGTTTTCTCAGAGACAGTCTCGCTCTGTCACCCAGGGTGGAGTGCAGTGGTGCTTACTGCAACCTCGACCTCCCAGGATCAAGTGATCCTCCCACCTCAGCCTCCTGAGTAGCTGGGACTACAGTTACAAACTACAATGCCTGGTCAATCTTTTAAAATGTATTTTCTGTAGAGACAGGAGGCAGAGAAGGGGGCAGGTCTCACAATGTTGCTCAGGTTGGTCTTGAACTCCTGACCTCAAGTGATGCTGCTACCTTGGCCTCCCAAAGTGCTGGGATATGAGCCACCATGACCAGCTGAAAGTGTGATTTTTCTAAAAGTGATACACTGGCAGGAGTCAAATTTGTGTAAAATGTGATTGTCACCCTAAATGAGAGAACCATGTCTACTGCCTGGTGTGGACAGGGCATCAGAAATGTCCGTGTTCATGGTCACTAGGCCCAGAAATGTCATGTGAGCCACAAATATAAGTTGAAGTTTTCTACAGCCAGATTTTTAAAAATTAAAATTTTATTTTATTTTATTTTTTCCTTTTTAAAAAATCATTTATTTTTATTTCCCTTTTAAATTTATTTTTAGTTTCTATTTTTTAAATTGTATTTATTTATTTTTTTTTTGAGACAGAGTTTTGCTCTTGTCACCCAGGCTGGAGTACAGTGGTGTGATCTCCACTCACCACAACCTCTGCCTCGGGTTCAAGTGATTCTCCTGTCTCAGCCTCCTGAGTAGCTGGGATTACAGGCATGTGCCACTACGCCTGGCTAATTTTTGTATTTTTTAGTAGAGACACGGTTTCACCATGTTGGTCAGGCTGGTCTTGAACTCCCGACCTCAGGTCATCCATCCGCTTCGGCCTCCCAAAGTACTGAGATTTCAGGCGTGAGCCACCGCGCCCGGCCTATTTTTCATTTAAAAATTTTTTTTTTACAGTCAGGTTTTTATAAGTAAAAAGAAACAAGTGAATTAATTTCAAGATGTATTTATTTTACCCAATATATCAAAATTATTAACATATAATAAATAAAAAATTATTAATGAGATACTTTACATTCTTTTTTTTGTACTAAGCCTTCACATCTCAGTGTGGATTTTACTCTTAAAGCACATCTCAGCTATGACTCCATCTGTGCTCAACAGCCGTCTGTGGCTCAGAGCTACCGTATCCAAACATGCAGAGACAGAACGCTCCCATCACTGTAGTACAGGAAAGGCTGGTGCTCACGCCTGCATTCCTCAGTGCTTAGCCCAGTGCCTCCTGGCACACAGTAGGAGTGTCATGCACAGTGAGTGAATGGCTGCATGCCTGGCGTGCCATGCTTTATGTAGTAGGAAGTAAAAGTGTCTGTCAGCACCATACGACAGGGCAAAAACAAAAAAACAAAAAAAAGAAAATAAAAGCATCAGGACATAGTTCCTACGACCGAGTTGAGAAGGGGAGACTGGACACACAATTACATTCCGAAGCCACATACTAAGAAGCTATTAGGAGATACAGAAAGTAGAATGGTGGTTGCCAAGGGTTGGGGGAAGGGGGAATGAGGAGTTAGTGTTCAACGGGTGTAGCGTTTCAGATGAAATGAGTTATGGAGATGGATGATGGTGAGGGTTGCACAACATTCTGAATGGACTGAATACCACTGAAGTGTACATTTGCAAATGATCAGGACAGAAAATTTGTTATATGTATTTTACCACAATTTTAAGAATGAAAGACAAAGAAGCTACTAGGGAGTACTAAAGATAGGAGGGGCCATGCAAAGATTGCTAAAATACTTATTGGGTGAAAAACGCAAACTGCAAACATGTACAACATCAAACCACACTTGTAAAATGAATGTATGTGCCTATGTGTATGTTAGTAAGTTCGTATAAAAAGCAACCTGTTTATAATAATAATTGAGCAGCAAGATAATGAG